CTTGTACACCTGATGTAAAAGAAAAGCAAATGAAAAGTTCTTTTTTAAGTATCCTATTGTTCTTTTCTTTTGTTCTATGCGTTCATTTCTCCAAGTCAGAATCAAAAGGTGTTCTCTACTTTCTTGTGGGGATGTAATTAAGGGGAACAATCCGTATGATTCCCTGAATGGGCCTTACCCAAAATAATAAAAACTCAATCACTTGATTGAGTAAATTATGTTGCATGAGAATTTATTAAAATTTTCACACCAACAATGAGACAAGCATTTCTTATTATTTACAAAAAAAAGTGTTAAAAAGCATCATCACATCTAATAAAAATTTGATGTTTATGCTTTATGAGTAGTTTTCACTCTTTTCTAATAGTTCAACAAACAACTTATCTTGGAAATTACCTGAAGACCTCATAATAAGAATATGATAATGAAAATATGCTAAAATCTCTAAAGAATTTCCCCTGCTGGAAAATACTAAAGATTAACATTCTTACCTGTTTCATCAGTGACCCACCAGAGTCTGCAAATGAACCAATGCATCTTCGCTTTAACAGAGGGTCTTGGGTCTCATCCTCTCTGATCTGCCTAGTCTCATCCATATTCTCATGACATTGGTTCTCTGTTTTGATTGGTTCTTGAGTATCAATTGAATTGGCCTGAACTTGTCTGTTGTTGATATTGTTGCCAGAAGAATTGCTAGCACCACCCTTTCCATTGGTTGAGCCCAACATGAGCTCCCCAAAAGGCATCTGTATGAGTCTTAATATGCAATCAAGTTTACTCTTGGTTTGAACATTTTGTGCAACAAGATCCCAATCATCTCCATGCTTCAACACAGTTTCTAGAAGAAGTAGTGTCTCTGCATCAGTCCAGACATCACTTCCATGATCATCACTACTACTTGTGGAATCACTGAACTTGAAACCATCCGCTGTCTTGCTTTCTCCATAATTTTCATTTTTGAAGCATCTTACACAAATTACAAATCCCCCCTGCTGATAACAAATAAATGGGGAGAAGTTACAAATAGAATATCGCAGAACATGAGAATATAAAATTTGCAAGCAAGTGAACTGCAAATTCTTTATAGCAGAAATGAAAAGAGTCATTTAGAAATAAGTCCTTGGAATGATGGAATCTTGGAATAATAAATACCAGAATCAAGAATTTGCAGTCAAAATAATTAAGTGGTAAGACGAAGAGAGAAAAATTTAGTGTCATAGAGAAGTATTGTCATCTAAATGTGCAACATGCATCACAACCCAAGCACTATATTGAAAAATATTTATAAAACGGAGATGATAATTGAAGGAAAAAAAATAACAGTAATGGTTGAAGAAAAATTTTGTTTTTTTTTTGGATGAATGTTAACTTCCATTGAACTTAAAAGAAAATGCACAAGAGAAAGTGGGTGAGAGACAAGCCCTCTTATGTCTCCCCTTTAATTTTAACAAAAAATTACATCTGTACCCAGAATGTTAGATTTCTCCCAGCCCCTTGCTTGGCTAGTGCATCAGCCATCGAATTAGCAGTTGAAGAAAAGTTTTGTTAAGGTATAGGCCTTCTTATGGGAAAGAAGTTTATCTTAAGTTGGCAGGCTATAAGCATTCAGAATACAAGCTTCTTTCAGAGCCTAACAGCATAGCACAGAAAGGAGTAGATTAGCTAAATCTTTTTCCATCTGCTGCTTTTTCATTTCCACCCCAATCCAAGGACAGCCACAGTGTTACCCCCTAGTTCCTAATTATGAAATATGGGTTTTTTTTTTTTTTTTTTTTATATCTTCTTAAGGGCTACACAAACAGGGTGTAGCCCATCCCCCACCAACCCAATTGCAGGCGGGATTCGATCCCAAGTCTCTGCTACGACCGGCAGGAGACCATACCAACCAGCTGGTTGGCACCTTTGCAATTATGAAATATGGGTTTAAGACCTAATTGTTAGTTATGACCTACAAACTAACAAGGTCTTATCTCCCTTTCCATATTTGTTATGTTATATCCTACATCTCCTATTACCCAGTTATGAAATATAGGTAATATTAACTTAAGAAATCTACTCAAGGCAGCTAGGCAATGCCTAGGCATTTCAACCTAGAAAAGCAAGTTGACAACTAAGCAACAATAGGTGTTGCTTCAGCAAAATACAAAATATAAATAAAAGCAATAAGCATACAAAATTTTACAATATATATACAATTAGAAACAAGTATTTTACAAGTACACGTTATATATTACTAAACCACAAAATGAATAAGCAAATGATTGAATTTAGACCTGATTTCAAAGAATTAACAAGATTTTTGAATAATTTAATGTAAAAGTACACATACACATATACAAACAGGGATTAGGAGCGCTAATTAGCTCTGTCACTTCGTGTACACTCGTAATAACACAAAATTATAAAATGGGGCTTAACCGCACCCACTAATATGCTTGTAACTATACCAACTACCTAGTTGGTTGCCTATGCAAAAGCCCACCAAAACTCCCAAGTAGGCTAACTAAACCAAACCCATATCTGCAGTAATTTCCCTCTTTCATGTATTAGTTGTAACTTTATGCGCTAACCAGCAAGGCCCTATCAAATTACAGTAATCAGAAGTCTGCATTTTAGATGAGGCAAGCATCTAGAGAAAGAAGGAAGAGAAGAGAAAGGACATCTTCCTTCTTTCACTGAGGAGATTAAGGAAGCAATCACAAGTCTGGAGTCAGAGAAGTCCCCTGGACCAGATGGTTTGACTAATATGTTTTACTTGAAATGCTGGGATTTTATAAAGCATGGCCTGCTGAATGTGTTTCAGAACTTTCACAGATCAGCATCCCTACAGAGAAGCCTAAATAATACTTTTATTTCTCTCATTCCTAAGATTTTGGAGCAACAAACTTAAAAGACTTCAGGCCCATTAGTCTCCTAAATAGATTTTACAAGATTCTTTCAAAGGTGTTGGCAGAGAGGATGACGAAAGTTCTATCGAGTGTAATTTCTGAGAATTGGTGTGTTTTTGTCCCTGGCAGACAAATGTTGGACAGTGTCTTGATTGCAAACGAGTTGATTGACTTTAGAAGGAGGGATGGAAAACCTGGTCTGATCTGTAAACTGGATATTGAGAAGGCGTATGACCATGTCAACTGGAGATGTTTGGATTTAATCTTGGCAAAGATGAATTTTGGTCAGAAGTGGAGGAATTGGATAAAGGTATGTGTCATCTGTCCTCATTAATGGACAAGTGGTGGGCTTCTTTGAGAGCTCCAGAGGAATTAGACAGGGGGGGGGGGTCTTTGCTTTATTGATGCTGCAGCTGATCAGTTGGAATTCTTTGTTGGTTTGAAATAGTGACTGGGCTGAAAGTAAATCTGGGGAAAAGTGTTGTCTTCCCTGTTGGCCAGGTTGATAACCTGGAATTCTTGGCTGAAGTGTTGGCCTATCAGGTTAGCTATCTCCCAGGAAAATATCTGGGGCTCCCCCTTGGAACTAAATGTAATTCTGTGTCAATCTGGGATCCCGTAATTGAAAAGACGTAAAGGAAGTTGGCCTCTTGGAAGGCCAAATACTATCGGCTGGTGGTAGAGTGACATTTCTGAACAGTACTCTCTCAAATCTCCCCACCTACTTTCTTTCTCTCCTTCCTATCCCTGCCAAGGTGGCTAAAAATTTGGAAGCACTTCAGAGGAATTTCCTTTGAAGGGGGTGGGAAGACAAAAAAGAAAATTCATCTTGTGAAGTGGGACCAGGTGTGCTTGCCTCTAGAGGAAGGACGTTTGGGTTTAAGAAAATTAAAAACTTTTAGTACTGCCCTTCTTAGTAAATGGTTGTGGAGATTTGGAACAGAGAGGGATACTTGGTGGAGGAGACTAATTGCATCTAAGTTTGGGGTGGATTGGAGTGATTGGAGGTCTTTGTACCCTCTATAAAACTGGGGTTGCTCTCTTTGGAAAGGAATTCATAATAACTTTTCAGTGTTCTCTTCTGGTTTAGGTTTCAAAATTGGTAGAGGAAACAGACTAAAGCTCTGGAAGGACCCTTGGTGCATGGATATCCCTCTTGCAGAAGCCTTTCCCCTGCTTTATCAGTGTGATGCAGACCCAAATATCTCAGTTGCTGATACCTATGATATGAGTGGTAATTCTATCTCCTGGAGTCCTCTATTTAGGAGAAATCTTTTCGACTGGGAGCTGGAACCATTTGTGGAGTTCATGCAAGTACTACAAATCTGGGTTTTGACCCTTAAGAAAGGTCTTTCAAGAGTCATCTGGGTAGGAGAGGGCTGCAGATCCCTGATCTGAATTGTGGGATGTGTGGATTAGCACCAGAGACAAGTGACCACCTTTTTCTCCACTGCCACTTTGCTACGAAGTTTTGGGCTCATTTTCTTAAAGTTGCTGGGGTCGGTTGGATCATGCCTAGTTCCATCAAGGACTTGCTCTACTGCTGGAAATTGATGGGCCTTAAGAGAAAAGGGAAGCTGATCTGGAGCACTATACCTACGGCTATTATTGTGACCATTTGGTCTGAGAGGAATAGTCACATTTTTTGTAACAGATCAAAAAATATAGATGACTTGATACAGATTTCTGCTTGTAAGATTGCATCTTGGTTGTCAGTTAGACCTGAGTTTAAGCATCAAAATGTATTTCAGATGCTTCACTCTCAGTGAGTCTGGAGTATGTAATGAGTTTTCTCCTCTTCTTCAGGGAGTTGCTGTTCCCTTCTCTTTCTTTCAATAAATTCTTACCTTACCTTTCAAAAAAAAAAAAAAAAGAAAGGACCTCTTCCAGAGTTATTAAACAAATACAACTTCTTGGTAGCTAATACAAGGAGAATGGTGCAATGCATGAAGCAGTTGGACAAATATAAAACAATATACTGCATAACAAGGATTTAAATTCCACATTCCAGTCATGGGAGAAGCAAAAATGATGTATTCTATCATTTCTGTGCAAAATAAAAAGAAAGGAGCAGAAATTGTAGGTAATTAGACTTGGGTGTTATCTGATTAAGAAAAATAGAAGATTAGCTTTAAGAAAAGAGAAAGAGAAGAGAAACTATTTTCTGTGCAAAATAAAGAGAAAGGAACAGAAATTGTAGGTAATTAAACTTGGGTGTTATCAGATTAAGAAAAATAGAAGATTAGCTTTAGAAAAAGAGAAAGAGAAGAGAAACTATAATAATAAAAAAAAGTTTAATACATTGCATTTTCCTGAAATTTCAAAAGAAGACCCATTTCAAGCCAGGTCAAAATACAGCTCAAAATTGAATTTTTAACCTGTGCAATACAAACAGCCAATTCAGAGGGACTATTACCAGATAATTGCTCTAGATTGGCTGTGTCATCAATTATGTAAAGCTCATAGAGGGCCACATCGCAGGCTTACAAACCCATTGAAACAATCTGTGTGAAAAAAAAATGTAAAGAAGAAAAAGAAATAACCCTCCATATGTTTGGGTTTAACACCAGACCAGGCTGTATGTGGAAGCGTTTCCTCGACAATTTTTGGAGTATTAGTACCCAAACTGTGTGCAATGCAGACACTTCATTCATTTAAGAAAGTCCTTATGTAACACTGTCATGTGACAGTTAAGCCTGATGTTTAAAATTAAACATTGCAGAACACATTTACGATGCCACTGATTCATCCCATTAAACAAAATTTGTTCCTAGCTGGTTATTCGGTATTTCAACATCTACTTTACTTACCAAATTAATATCTCAATAGTAGAATCAAGCTTTCCACTTTTCTAGAGCTGGTATTAACATTATTCTTGAGGTCAAAGTCATTTTTCAGTTGGAAGTTTACTGTTGAACATAAAAGTAAGTTGTATGCAATCAGTTGCCAAACCAAACCATTATGGTTGATCGCAAATAAGAATCCCCAATTTTTCCAGACACGTGCACAAGGGATAGAATTGCCTTCCCATAGTTTAAAATTACTGTGACCACATAGAGAAGATTATTCCATACCTGACTTGAGTTTTCTACAAATTCATTAGATTTCTATTTTCTAATACAGGGAAATTTACATCATATACAAGTAATTACCATAAGAGTAATATCACTGTGTATAATGCACCAGAGTATTAATTGATGCATCAGCTTCTATTGAAGCAAATCTATATTAAGACATGCATATCTGGTTCCAACTACAACATAAGACACGAACATTGACCAGATTACTAATAAGCAAAAGGTCTTGAACCAATTGAGAGTTTTACCAGAAAAAACCAAGCAGATAACTGAAAATAAAATGAAAGAAACCTCCTGGAATGAAAGTATTTATTTCCAATGTTTCATTGCATTAGATGCATAAAGTTACCATGCCAAAGAGATTCTTTCGGGAATGTTAACCAAGTTTGAAATGAGGTCATTCCAACATCTTGCTCTATGAATCCAATTCCAAATTTAATAACATTACAAAATATGGCTCAGCCGTAAATAATGAATTCAGATGTTCAGATGCAATTGAAGGTTAAAATGAGAAAATGGAGAGAAAAGAAAATCCTTCTCGTGGCCTCCAAACAGATCATTAACAAGCTAATTACAAACTCAAATTGCAATACCTTAGCAGACACATAGCGTCCGGAAGCACAACCTTCCCCGCAGTTCTCACAAATCAGCCCTTTCTCACGCATCAAGTCACCAAAAACATCCAAGTAAGACGCCAGAGGCGGCAGTCTGAAGCCGCCTTTATCGACCGCTTCATCCTTCACATTTGGTGTCAAAAGAACAACTTTATTGGGATTGGGAACAGAGACCACTCGAATTCCATTAGGCACTCCATCCTCCAATCTGCCCTTCAACTTCTCATCACCAGACGAATCCTCCGTCGGCACACCAAAATTAATCAATCCCCATCTTTCCAATAACCGAAACACCTTGTGAATCAAACAGACATCACCGATCAAGTACTTACGAACCTCCGTAAACGTGAGCCGCCGCGAAGGCTCTTCCCTGTACTTGTTGATGATGAAATCCCTGTACTCCTTGTAGATCTTGGGTGTTCTTGAGATGGAGCTGCCATCAAAGAACTCCTTCAGGGCCTGTTTCTCGGTTTCGTGGATTTCGTCCCAGGTGAACCAGCCTGAAATGGAATAAATTAGGGTTAGGATTTTGGTGGATGCAAGTAACAGAAATAAGCAAAGAAAAAAAATAGGGGGTTTGGAATCTTTGAAGGTATGGGCAACTTACTTGAATAGCTTGGTATGGTGTAAAGGTCCTGCTCTGGTTCGTTGGCGGGAAAGGATTTCGAACTCGCGTCCTCCATCTCGCATTGGATGTAAGAGTAGAGGGGCGTTAAAAGCTTTTCGAACGGGACAATTATATACTTCAGAGGAAAAACCCATACATGCATTACAAGCGTGGAGAATTATAAAAACTTTATTATAAAATAAATTACAATTAAAAGTAATATTTACCATAATGGCAAAATCGTAAAATAAGCGCATTCAAATAATATTTAACTTAGTCCGAACCCATGCACGTAGGTAAAAACCGAAAAATCGAACTGAATTGAGCAAACTGAATCAGAAAATGAATCGATCTCGGTTTGGTATTTTAGAAAAACCGAAGGATCAGTTCAATTTTTTGATTAATCAAATCGACCGAAATATATATATATATATATATATAATATACTTCACATATTATCTATATATTATATATAAATATATATTATATTTATAATATACACTATATTATGTATATTTTATAGTATTTATAATAGATTATATGTCATTTATTATTTATAATATAATATATTATATATGTTTATTTATACTATATGTTATAAATATAAAAAATCGAACCAGTCAACTGATTAACTGATGGTATCATTTTAGTTTCAGTTTGGAGATATGGACAAACCGGTAGGACCAATTCGGTTTCTAAAGAACCCTCATGGTTTGGTTAACTGAACCATGAGCACCCCTCCATGCACAGACTCTATTAAGTGAAATTTAAGTAGAAATAGCCATGATATTTCTAATTAGGTTGAGTCCGTTCAAGTTCAACCCAAAATATTATTTTTTAGTTAGTTAGTCTTTTCTAAATTTTTATTTGTTATCAATAAAATTTAAGATTTTATTAATCTTTTGTTAATAATTTAAAAATTTATTCGTTTTAAAATTAAATTCATTTTTATTAATTAATTAATTGATTTCAAATTTTTATAATTAATCTTAAAAATAATTGCAACCATATATCAATTCCATATTTTCATTTTTAAATGGAGTTTGTTTCAAATAATTAAAGGGAATTTAAATTTCCCTAAATTTTAATTAATTATAACTAATTTCATTTTTATTAATTAATTAATTGATTTTAAATTTTTATAGTTAATCTTAAAAATAATTGCAATCATATATCAATTCTATATTTTCAATTTTTAAATGGAGTTTGTTTCAAATAATTAAAGGGAATTTAAATTTCCCTAAATTGTAATTAATTATAACTAATCAATTTCAAAATTACTTATTATAATAATATAATTTAGCACCCGTGGTGGAACCCGCATATTATAGAGATAAATGAGTACCATATACTATATGGGTCACTTGTCACTTGAAATGGATTTAAAATAAACCATTTTAACCCACACCCGTACATGATATGGGGCCATCAAAAAATGGGTACAAGGAAACCCATTTCACTTGTTTTCAACAATTGAAAAAGCAGGTTTTATGAAAATTCAGTTGCACAAAAAGGCTGCATTAACAACCTCATTGATCGGAAAGTTGCCAAATTTTTTTAACCAATTATGAACATGCGTGGTTAATGGAAATCCCAACCACTGGTTGGCATGTTACGAAGGGTTTATCTCGGTTCATTTGAATGAGAAGAAAATAGTTCATGTGAACGAGAACGTGAAAAACTGCTCACGAAATAAAGCTTGGCAAACTTATTTTACATAACGAGACGTTCATGATATGTTGTTTGTTCAATTTTCATGGCAATAAAAAACTTTGAACAAGTGCTCATGAAGTTTTTTTTTTTCTTTTTTGACACCGAAAGTTATAAGTTTCAAAGTATTGAAAATGGAAGGAGTATTATAAAAGACAAGTTTAAGAGATATATTAGAATACACATATAAGATGTGAATTGTGAAAACTCAAAAACAAGTCTCAAAAGTTATGTCAATGACACTAAACCTAGGTTATAAATAACTATAAATGAGGTACATGGACACAAAAAAAAAACTTTAATAGTTCATGTGAAGTATGAACAAGAAAAATGTAAAGTATTGTTGATAGTTCATGAGAAATGTTACAAATGATAGAATAAATAAAATATACATGTATACATACATATATAACTCACATAAATGTTTCTTCAAATTTGTTGATAAGCATGCATGAGATATACAATTCATATAAATGTATTAGGTGGTTAAAACATGTTGCAGTGATAGATTTGTTTTCTCTCAATCTAGATACTTGGGTTCAAATTTTTTCTTATAGTTTTTAAGACTATAAATTTTATTGGGTATGGTATAAAGTAATAGAATTTTAGGCAATTTAATGAAGTAATTTAGAGGAGATGGAATTAGCATCATGAGCAAGGTTCAAAATATCAATATGCCCAATACACCAGTAGGGGCGTATTGGGTGAATCAATACACATTTTTATTGTGTGTGTGTGTTTTTTTTTTCGTAACTGGTTCAAGGGGGGTCAGTTTAGGTCTCCACTACCCCCTGAACCAGTCAGACCTCCGATACACCCACTGTAAGGGCGTATTGGAGGGGTCCTGAAAACGATACGTATCAACCGATACAGGCCGATACGTGTCGATACTTTGAACCTTGATCATGAATTATTGGTGAGAACTAATGGGGCAATTAATGAGAAAAAGATAATAGGAGTTGACAGGAAAGAAGGGAGAGTTAATGGGAAAAGCCTTTAAAGTGATTGGCTACTTAAATTATTTTGTTCAATTTTAAAGAAATAAAAATAAAAAAAGAATATAGAGAAGGGGTTGGAGAAGTAGAGAATTGCCGACATGGGCATCTTTGCACGGGAGAAAATGAAGAGAATGTTGACCCTAGAATTAGATCAAAATGGCAAAATGATGGGGTGCATATGGATCTGATCTAATGTGATAGGTGAATACCCTTTAGGTTAAAAGTAAAATTCTACAATGTAAGGCCAATTATGTTGTATGGAGGAAAGTATTGAACAGTCAAGAAATAATGTCCAAAAAATGAGTGTGACAAAAACACATATACTGAAATGGATTAATAAAAAAAACTAGAAAGGATAATGTCAAAAATGAAATTTTAAACTTATCCAAAATATATATATATTCGGAGAAACCTAAGAGAACCTCTAATAAGTGATAAAAATGAAAGAATATAGATGAAGATAGTTTGGCCATGTACATAGAATACCACCTATGACACCCACAAAAAAAAACAATCTACTAAAGTTGAAGAGGCAAGAAGGGCTAGGGCAGATTAAGAAGGACAGGGGTCATAGTAGAAAATGATTTAAGCACTCAATTTAACAAATGGACGTGGCATTAAACAAAATGAAATGATATGAGATATCACAAGCTGGCCTACTCAACCCAGATGGTTGAGCCACTGAACCAGGGAGCCAGAAGACAATCAATTCCATTTCCATAGCCAGAAGACAATAATGAATGCAAAATTAATCCATTTATAACCTGCTTGGATATGCATCCACCCTCCTATACAATTAAATTCGATTTACAAATACTAGTAGCTTTTAAACTACACATAGTTACTTTTACTATTTGTCAAATACAAATTTAATCCATCCATACTACATTCATGATCCAATTATAGTACAGCATCGATATTTTCATGAGTTAAGGGTACGGATTGGGAGGTCTAGGGAGGCGAGTAGGGTCTAGAATTTATTAAACCCTTCCTGAACCTGCCCCATTGTCTTCCCTATGTTTATCCTTTATAGAATTGATATTGATGAATTTGTTAAGAAGAGACCCATGAACCATGGAAGAGCTGCATCACAGTTTTGCCCATTATCCACTCCAAGTCAGCCTCAGATAATGACGCCTGATGAGCAATAAGTGTAACTGCTTCTTTTGCTCCTTTGTACCCACATTCGGGAACAACATATGGGAAGTCACTGCAATGTTACATTCATAGTAACACAAAAAATGAGATATTTGCTCATTTCCTCTGTTCTTTTATTTTTCCTAATTACCCACCCGGCCACCCCCACGCCACGTGCAAATGCTGATTTTCTGTTTCTCATGGTAGGAGCAGCAAAGATAAATTAAAAGTCATAAACTACCTGCCCCACATGACACGGTTGGCACCAAAGCTCGAGACAACTTGGGAAAGAAGGTGGCATGTATCTTCATATGGGAATGATTTTCTTGTCACTCGGAACAATGCACTAAATTTCACATGAACCTGTCCATTTTAAAACCATCCAGCACAATTAAAATCTTACAGAGCCTTGGGTATATTAAACTAAAGTAAAATTCCTCTCACTATTGAAATTAGTAGCAAAAGATATACAAACATCATCACCTGTGGATATCTGGAAAGGTTTAAAAGCCTAGAGAAAATCTTACTTTCATCATCATTCCTGTCAACGAAATGCATTAAAAAAATGATTGCGTTCATCGCTTCATCTTTCCATGATAATTCAATATCAAGGAAAAAGTGTGCCAAAAGATCAAAAAAGTAATAGGAAAAAAAGAAACATTATATGGAGCTGACAAGGGTGGCTTGCAAAAACCCAAATGATCAAGTAATACAACTGTTGAAGGGAAGTCTGAGCAGAGCTCCTCAATTTCTGAAATATGAAGATCAAGACCCTACAAAGCACCATCTTCAATTCAATATTTGTTAAATGTAATTAAAAAAAGATAATAGTATTTTGAAAGCCATCTTCGATGAAATTATCTCATTGAAATACCTTCATACACATAAAGCCCACTGGAACTCCAAGTTCCCCTGCTTTAGAGAACATTGCCTTTCCAATTTCATTTGTCATCTGCATGTATCAATAATATATATATCAGGATGGAGTAACTATGAAGAAGCCATTCTTTGCACCTGACAAAAGGATAAATTATAGCAGGAAAAATCTAAGAAAATCAAAATTGACTTCTCCTACAACGTAAGATCTCCATATTTTTGACTAATTTGATTTAAGCAGGAAAATATACCTTGTTCTTGTTGTAGCATTTGATTGATGAAGAAAACTAGGTTTGAAAATATTTTCTAACATCCACAATCTAAAGAGGCCAATCGATATCCTCTAGTGAAAGTCAAACTTTTTGTCTAATGCAGTTTATGCACTTAAGCATCTAGGGCCGTAAGATACAATAGGGATTCCATCTCCTAAGGGTTAGGTCTAGCAAAGACAACCCTATCTCTCTGCTCTTATACTGGAATCTCCATTTGAGTCTCCCTAATCAATGATGAGGATTACAAAAAAGCTTCCTAAAATTGCAAAGATGTCAAGTAATACATTTGCAATTATATCCTTAAGTGCATGGAAATTATCACTTAGGCCCTCTTATGCAAAGTCAAATGTCAGTTATGTCCTACACAACAATGTCAGACTCTGATTGGGGTACCACAAAGAATCACCCTCTGAATCAATCACCACCACATGGGATTTATCTAAGAGATGCATAACCACTGGGGCAACTCCAGCAAATCGATTTTCAAAATATCTTCCAAAAATAAATATTTAAATACAATAATAAGTAAGGTTTAAAACTCTTTTAAAGCAATACACTGAAAAATACACCCGGTTGTAATGAGATCTTAATCTGATCATGATACTCCGAGGCAAGCCCTATGAAAGTTTCTCTAGAGTTCTAGTGCAACAAAGATTCCTATATTCACTCCAGAATCACCGAGAGGCAGAATACTAGAGTCCTAATGTAACTAGGATTCCTTACCAAGAGTCATAGTTCAACCAAGAATCTTGCAATACGCATCCCAGTGTTATCAAGGAACTTATAAAGGAGTCCAGTCTAATTGGGATTCCTCTATCAAAGTCCTAGTCCAACTATGATTCTTGGCAAGTATCCACATCAGTCAAGAGTCTTGGCAATGAATCCAGTCTAATTCTAAGGGTATAGATTCTTTTCTAACATTCCCAAAGTCCTAATCAATCCTAGCTACCAAGCATATGGAATATGCTATTCATGTAAGTTGCTTCATCCATGGTATATCAAAGTAGCTAAGTATGACCCTATAGCCTTGAGAACTCCTTAGGTCCAAAGGATAGAAAATCCTTTGCACTTGAGTGGTTCATGCAATTGATAGTGAAACAATTCCTTTAATGAATCAATTAAAACTGAATCATATCAATGTGTATCCCAGTACTCCCTCATGGTAATCTAGAGTATCGCCCCAATGGCTAAGATATCACCATATCTTCATGCTAACCATCCATATGTCAACCACGCAAGTGAGTCGCCTAGGCTCACCCATGGTTGATATGTTTCATGTCTATAAGGAATTAGGTCAATTAGATGCCCTACGATATTACTTGGGGGTGTTCTAGTCATATAAAATGATAATTGTAATTTTTTTTTTATCAATAACAGCACTTTTATTAAAAGAGATATGTAAGATACAACCAGAAAGGAGGGGTAAAATGTCTTAACCCTCCCTTTCAAACCCGAAAAAAACATATTACAGAATAGCCCAAAGCAAATTAGATCTTCCCACCCCCTGTTTAGCCAAGGAGTCAGCCATGGAGTTGGTACTCCTCTTAGCCCATTGAAACCTTATAGTCATGTTCTGAGTTAGTTGCTTGATTTTCTTTCTTTCATTTGAGAACTTCCACATGCTGGAGTCTTCCATTTACAACCATCTAACAGTCAGTTGGGAGTCACCTTCCACCAGCAACTTGCTAATATTCAGCTGCTTAGCCCTTTTGACTCCTTCTACAACTGCTAGGATTTCAGCTCTCAGAGAATCCCCCCAGCCTATAGGTCCTAAGAACATAGCAATAATTCGCCCTTCTTCGTTCCTGAAAATACCACCTATGCCTGAAGGGCCTGGATTTCCTTCACTACTACCATCAAAATTCAATTTGATGAAACCCAAGTCTGGTGGAGTCCAAACAGGTCTGATATCACTAGACATAGGATCTGACCGAGCCACTTCCCAATTTCTAATGATGTCTCCTACTGAACAGGCTTCAAAAAGCTTCAAAGACTTGACCCAATGAGCCACCCTGACATATACAAGTTCTATGAGGGCTTCCCTGTTTTTCTCTTTTTCATGAAATAATCTTTGATTTCTTTCTTCCCAAACCGTCCAACAAACAGCAGCTCTAGCGCATCTCTACAAAATTTTACCTCTCTTCTTTAGGAGTGGAGCTGAACAAGCTTTGCACACTTGAAGGGGAGGGCCACCTGCAACCAAATAAAGAAAAGAACCAACACCAAATATTTGAAACAAAAGGGCAAGAGACAAACAAGTGATAACAGCTTTCACCATTCTTCTTACATAAGATGCACCAGTGTAGGGATAAACACCAATTAGGCCTTTTCTTTTGAAGTAGGTCACAAGTGTTACACTTTTCTAGGATTGCTTCCCAACAAAAAGCACCTACCCTGGGAGGGATGGGGCTACCCCAAACTTCCCGGACTGGAAAAGGAGGCCCACGTACCGGACTAGACTGTGTCAATGCTTTGAAGAAGGAGGAGCAGGAGAAGATACCCAAGGGAACAAGAGACCACACCCTGGAGTCCACAATGGAAGGTTCAAGGACTACCTCATCCAAGATTTTAAGCAGATTCGAAATGGGTTCCAATTCAGAATCTCTGAGAGCCCTTCTGAGACCCAAGTTCCAACCAGTAGCGGAATTAGACAAGTTAGCAAATGCTGCTACTGGTTCATTTTTAAACCTAGACAGAGCAAGCAACGAGAGAAACTGCTCTTTCAAGGGAAAATCCCCCACCCAAGTGTGTTCCCAAAAAAGTACAGACAAACCAGAACCAAGATCGTACCTGATAAATGGAAGAAAAGACTGCAGGACAACATGAATCGACTTCCAAGGGAAGGCTCTTGAAGCCCTAGATGATAATCCCAGATCCCAACCATCTGCCTCTCGCCCATGAATACTTAGGATTATTTTAGCCCACAAATTTTCTTTTTCTTTGGACCATCTCCATAACCATTTCCCTAAAAGAGCTTCATTCTTCTTCCGCAGATTTCCAAGCCCCATTCCCCCTTCACTTATAGGTCTTGTAACTAGATCCCACCTAACTCTATGGTCCTTTCTCTCCTCCCCAGGTTCCCATAAAAAGTTCCTCATTAATTTTTCCAACTCCCTACAAACTCCTTCTGGGATTCTAAACACCAACAAGAAATATACTAGAAGGTTTGCCAAAGTTGACTTAATCAGTGTTATCTTGCCCCCCAAAGACAAGTAGTTATTCTTCCAGGAAGCTAGCCTTTTAGTGAACCTGTCAATCACCGGATTCCAAAAGCTCCTTTTTCTAGGATTGTCTCCCAAAGGAAACCCTAAGTACTTCAGTGGCCAATGAGCTATCTCACATCCTAACACTCGAGCCCTTTCCTCCACCTCTCCCTCACTCATATTAATACCAATCACACAGCTCTTACCCAGATTTACCTTGAGGTTGGTCATTTGTTCAAACACCCTAATCCCCATCTTCATATTGCACACCCAGCTAATCTCCTCTCCATCACAAAACAGAATTGTGTCATCTGCAAATTGTAGGTGAGTGACCGGAACCCTATTCCTCCCCACTCTCCAACCACTTATCAGATTTCTAGAGCCTGACCTCTCAATAAGCCTCCCTAGCACTTCAGCAATTAGGGTAAAGAGAAAAGGGGAGAGAGGGTCCCCTTGCCTAATACCCCGCACAACTGGAAAGTGATCCACCACCTGCCATTTACTAACACAGAATAATGACAAGTCCTAATGCACCCTTTAATCCACTTGCACCACCTCTGCCCAAAACCACAAGACTCTAGCACTTCCAACAACAGAGACCAATCAACCAGATCATATGCCTTCTCCAAATCCAACTTACACACTAGCCCTTTCTCACCTCTACTTTTGTAGTCTTCCACACTCTCATATGCAATTAAGATTTGGTCCATAATTTGTCTATTCGTCACGAAGGCACCTTGGTTATGGGAGATGATCGAGGGGAGCACCTCTCTAATTCTTCTGGATAACACCTTAGCAATGATCTTGTAGAGGCTGTTAACCAAACTGATGGGTCTGAACTCTTTAGGATGAGAAGCCCTAAACTTCTTCGGTATTAAAGCAATAAAAGTAGAATTCAAGCCTAGGTTTATCACACCTCTTTCAAAGAATTCCAAGAACACTGCTTGAATGTCAGCCTTAATTATCTCCCAACAAACTTGATAAAAGGCCATCGTGAAGCCATCAGAGCCCGAGACTTTGGATCTATCCATAGAGAAAATGGCTTCCCTGATTTCTTCCAAGTCAAACACTCTTTCTAGCCACAACATCAACTCATTAGGGAGCTTAGGCCAATCCAACCCTTCAACCCTTAATCTCTTCAGCAGAAGCTTTCTAAAGATGGATTTTAAGTGTTCAACAAAAGCCCCGGCAATCTCTTGTTATTGTGTTAAAACTGTCCCATCAACAACCAGCTTAGATATGGTGTTTTTCTTTCTTTTTCCATTGGCTATTGCATGGAAAAATTTTGTATTCCTATTTCCTTCCTTCACCCATTTGTGTCTAGATTTCTGTCTCCAACTTAGTTCTTCTTTGAAGATTATGTCTCCCAGGCTCTTCTTTTTAACTCCCACCTCATTTCTTTAACTCCCATAAGCAATAATTGTAATAAGAAGTCTGAGAAACAAAAGTCTCATTTTATTAAGTGTAAAGAGACTGGGCTGAATGGGCCCTAACAGCCTCTCTTGTAATATCTTTTATTTTATGTTGATAAGCCACACTTAATGGGCCTGTTATTTATTCTTGTTTATTTCCTTTATGTAACTGCCAAGCCGGTTGTTGAG